TGAAGCACAGATTTGGGGGGTACCAAAGACCACCCTTGGTTTCAATAATTTGCCAGAAGAATTTAAGGAACACACTAAAAGCTGTTATACTCATTGCCGTGGTTTAAATAATGATAGATTAAAATCAGCCAAAGAAAGAAACACACGGGGGGAAAGCGCTGCAAGTGTGGCTCTTACTGCTGTCTCTCCCAGCGGAGTCACAGACAACATTAACTCCTATGGGTCACGACAAAGCATACAGAGCTCTGTCCAACAAGGGTGTTTACACAAGCCTCGGTGTCCAGAGTTTTTATTCAGTTTTATGCAGACAATGGTTAACTGCCTACATGGCTGACCTCAACCCCTCCAGAGGTCCAGCTGATACTTTTCAACTAAAGGCCTCACCATAAATTAACTTTATTAGATTATTAGGCATAGCCCAAACCCCCCACATAAACAAAGGCACTAACCAGGCAACGCATTTCATTACCTCCCCAAAGCCTAGGGAAAGGCCAGACCTCTCTCTGGGCAAGGTTAAGTTCTTTAGTACATCATCTCCTGAGTTTCCGCTTCATATGTCTAACTGCCTTCTTAATACCCTCACCAAAAGTGAAATTCATCAAAATTGCCCGAGACCAATTGTGACCTTTCTGGTAATAGTGCCAAACTATTCTTTTCATTTAAATATTTGTTTTAATCAATAAATCATTAATTGCATATACTATTTGTGAGGTTTACAATGAGACATTGTGACATATGCTATACTATTTTTCCCTATTAGGAATTGAGGCAGCTTATAAAACCACAATTCAAGATATAAAATTAGAAGGAAATTGGGGCACAGAAAAAAATAGCCCAGAAAAAGCAAAATAGAATAACACTACACTGAAGTTAGGACACAGAATGCATGCTATAAATTACTGTTCACTTGTTAGAGGTGGGCTGCACATTTGGCTCTGAGCTTTTCATAACCAAACAATATCCAAAGCCAAGAAGGAATGATAAGCAGTTTCATAATTCACACAGCCCATTAAAATAAAATTATGCCCAGAAGGCAATCTTCTTCTTCCAGCTGCTCCAGGCTCGAGACGTTGCAGTTTTGTCCACTGCTGCCCACCACACTCAACAGCTTGGCAACAATAAAGGTGGGGTCTCCATGATGCTGTTTGCTTCGTCCTCTCCTCTACATATACCTTCTCTCTCTCCAGTGTCAGTCACTCAAGATTTCAAACTCATCCTTCCTTAAATACACTGATCTCTTCAAAACCTACAAAGGTTCCTCACTGCTTTTTCTTTTTTCTCAAGGTTACACAATAATTTCTTGAGCCTCCTCTCCCCATCCTTGCAGTGTCTAGGTCACTTTTGCCGCTTATAGATTTTGTGTGCTACCTCCAGGAAGATGGCTGGGGACAGGGGTGCTGCAAACTGCTCAGTGAGACTCATAAGGCGGCTGTAGCTGTCCTCCTCATGCTGCAAGAACAGAGCAGGGAGAGCCAGCTCCTCGTACAGGGCCTTCACCCAGACCACCTTCTCTGCCTCCTTCTGCCCGTAATTCTCCTGGAATATCTGGTGCTGCTCCGGAGTGGCCTATTGCAGACACTGAACCACCAGCCAGCTGCATTTGTTGTCCTGGATGTCAGTCCCAACCTTGCCCATCACACTGATCAAGGTAAACATCCTAGATCAAGGTAAAAGAGATCAAGGTAAACATCCTGGATCTGAAGGAACTTGCCCATCTCCAGCAGGATCTTCTTCGCATGACTATGTTCCTTCTGCCCATCAGTGCCTGCCATGTACATGTACATAGCAGCAGCTACAGGAAGGTAGAAGGAGTAGACAGCTGTCTTGTACTTGACAATAGATTTGTACCTCTTTTCGGTAAATCTCCCAAGATCCACATTACCCTGGGGGGCTGTGATAAGGTCCAGAGTCTGCCCAATCTCAGTCTGATATGAACTCTGCAGGAAGAGCTCAATCAGGTTCAGGTAATAGGGCTGCTCCCAGCAGTAGAGTTTCAACAGGCAGTAGATACACGCTTCCAGAAGCATAGAGTCATTGAC